TTTGGTTCATGGACTCCTTTGTATGCGGGGCCTGCTTCTTGTTTGAATCCTTGGACTCCTCTTGCGAACCGCTCACACCAGGCGTGCATAGAGCCCACCTCAGAACACACACCTAGTTGGAATCGGGGTGCGTTGCTGGTATTACAGTGCCCACTGCTAGGTTTGGGGTCTCCAGTTGTACCCAATTGCAGGTCCCCTTATCTCCTGCCAAATATGGTTTAGGCTGTCGAGCTATTGTTCCCCCTCCTCAGGGCTGATTGTGCTTCCTGATCACCGGAGGAGGTGTGAACGGCTTTTCGATTATGATGAATGGTTTTCGATGGTTTGGAATGTTCAGTATTTCTCTTGAATGGGTATTTGTTAAGTTTGACCGGTAGTGTGAATGTTCTTCACAAAGGTGAAACAGGTTTACATCTAGCACAATGGTGTGGAATTTTCAGTATTTCCGTGTCTCGGCACTTGTTGGAAATTGAATGGCTTTGTACCTCTAGGCTCCAGAAGGTCTGAAGTTGTTTGTTTACTACAGTCTAGCTTTCATTGTTTTGAGCTGGGGTGTCACAGAAGAGGAGGCAATGCAGGCATTATAATTAAGGAGGAAGACTGTGAAATATTGGATGTAGTAAAACATGGGGAGGGAGGAAGAACTTAAGAGGATTCACATTCTTGAAAATGGGTAAGTCACAAGGACCAGATTTACCCTACACTGTTCAAAGAAAATTAGGGTGCTCTGACCATTATTTTCAGTTTTAGCTGGATGCAGATCAGGTGCTGAAGGATTTGAGGACTGTCAATGTTGTGGTTTTGGTTTTAACGTGGAGCCAGGGATAAACCCAATAATTTGAAGCCAGTCAATCTAACCTCAGCAGTGGGCAATTGATTGGAATCAATTCTGACAGTCAGGATAAACTCAATTAGAAAAGCATGGAGCAATCGAGGACTGTCAAAATGGATTTCCTCAGGGAATATAGTTGAGGCGGAATGACTAAATGAATCACTCAACACCCAGGTGCACTGCAGCATCAAATATAAGAGACAACATAGTGTGGAGCTGGAGGAAATGGGCATCTTTCTGGAGGGACGAGGGCAACTTCTTCAAAGTGGGCATCCTTTCTGAAGAAGGGTCCCGACCCGAAAAGTGAATTTTCCTGCTCTTTTAATACTGCCTGGCCTGCTGTGTTCCACCAGCTCCACACTGTGTTGTCTCTGACTCCGGCACCTGCAGTTCTTGCTATCTTCAAGCATCAAATGTAATATTGTTTCAGAACCTGGTAATCAGAAATCTCTCAATCTCCCTCTTAAGTATAATTAAAGACTGAGCTTCCACAGCCTTCTGCGTTAAGAGAATTCTAAAAGTTCACAACCCTCTGAGTAAAAACATGTCCTCTCATCTCAGGCCCAAGTGACTTGCCCTTTATTTTGAAATTGTGCTCTTTGATTCTAGATTCCCCAAGGGAAACCATTTTACCTGCATTCAGCATGTATATCCCTTTAGGTATTTTGTAAATTTCAATTATATCAACTCATTCTTCAAAACTGTACAGAATGTAAGCCCCGTGGAGAGGCGATGGCCTAGTGGTATTATTGCTGGACTGTTAATCCAGATAACATTCTGGGGACTAGGGTTCGAATCCTGCCATGGCAGATGATGGATTTTGAATTCAATAAATATCTTGAATTAAGAATTTAACAATAACCTTGAATCCATTGTTTATTGTCGGAAAAACCCATCTAGTTCACTAATGTCCTTTAGGGAAGGAAACTGCCATCCTTGTCTGGTCTACATGTGACTCCAGACCCACAGCAATGTGGTTGACTCTGAACTGCCTTCTGAGCAACTAGGGATGGGTAATAAATGCTGCCTGGCCAGTGACGTCCTCACCCTGTGAATGAATAAAGGAATCTCTCTTCAAAGGACAGTCCCACTATCCAGTGAACCATTTTGGTGAATCTTTGTGCACTCCCACTATGGTAATAATATATAGCAAAGTTTATTAACCAGCATCTAAAGGACTGGGAGTGGACAGGTTGATCAAATAATCCAGGTGATCAAGAGGTCCAGGTAATCTACGTAAAAAGTACACACTAAGTAATAGAAACATAATGCAGGATGTATACACATTACTGTTATATTTTATTTACACTTAAATAATAATGCAATTTAGACTTAAATAAAACGTAATGGCAGAGAGCCTTCTTACTTAACTGACTACTCAGGCGTCTCAGAGATCTCGATAATACCGTAAACCTGAGGAATTTCAGGCATGTAATTTTTGCCAGTTTATCGAGAGTGCCAGTTCGTAAGGTACCAGTTAAAACAAAGTTTGCTGTATTTCCTGACATGAGGCCAAAACTGCACACAGTACTCCAGTTACAGTCTACCAAGCTCCTATATAATTGAAGCAAGACTTCAACACTCCTATACTCATATCTTCTTGCAGTAAAGGCTGACATTCCATTAACTGTCATAGTAGCTCGTTGTACCTTGCAAGTTAACCTTCGGTGACTTGTCAACAAGGTCCCCTAGGGTCTTTTGTACATCTTCATTTTGTATGTTTTTTGTATTTACTCTTGCTGATTTCTAACCATTAAGAAGTACTCTGCACATCTATTTCTCCTCCCAAATCGGATACCTTCACATTTTTCCACATTATATTCCATCTGCCATGTTCTTGCCCACTCACTCAGTGTCCAAATCTTCCTGAAGACCATTTTACATCTTCATCACAACGCATATTTCCAGTTTTGTCTGCAAATTTGGAAATATTACATTTCATTCCCACCTCCAAGTTATTGATGTATATTGTGAACACCTGGGGCCTACATACTGAAATTTGCAGTTCTCCGCTCATCACAGCCTGCCAAAATGAGAATGCCTCATTTCATAGAATCCGTACAGTGTGGAAGCAGGCCATTTGGCCCATGAGTCCACTAACCTTTCGAAGAACATCCCACCCAGACCAAGCACCCTACTCAGTCCCTGTAACCCGCATTTACCATGGCTAATCCACCTACCCTGCACATCCCTAGACACTTTGGATAATTTAGCATGGCAGGTTTGTTCTCCTTGGAACAACAGAAGCTGAGGGCAGATTTGAGAGAGACCTG